GCGTAAAACCTGTGGGTTTTAAATGGGTATTTGTGCGTAAACGCAATGAGAAAAATGAAATTGTTAGATATAAAGCCCGACATGTTGCCCAAGGTTTTTCTCAAATGCCGGGAATCGATTATGAAGAAACCTATTCTCCAGTAGTTGATGCAACTACATTAAGATTTCTCATTGGCATGTCTGTTTTTGAAAGGCTGCAAATGCGCCTAATGGATGTAGTGACCGCCTATCTATATGGTTCACTTGATACAGACATTTACATGAAAATTCCCGGTGGATTTAAAATGCCTGAAGCTTATAGCTCGAAACCTCGAGACATGTTTTCCATTAAATTACAAAAGTCATTGTATGGACTAAAACAATCTGGACGAATGTGGTATAATCGTCTCAGTGAATACCTTCTCAAAGAAGGATATAAGAATGATCCGATTAGTCCATGTGTTTTCAATTTTCATTCGGCGATCAAATTCGGGATTCGCCATAATTGCAGTATATGTTGATGACTTAAATATTATTGGAACTCCCGATGAAATTGAAAATATTGCAAAATATCTTATGAAAGAATTTGAAATGAAAGATCTCGGGAGAACCAAATTTTGTCTCGGACTTCAAATTGAGCATTTGAAGAATGAAATTTTCATCCACCAATCCAATTACACCGAGAAAGTGTTGAAGAGATTCTATATGGACAAAGCTCATCCTTTGACTTCACCAATGGTCATTCGATCTCTCAACATACACGATGATCCATTCCGTCCCCGAGAAGACGACGAAGATATACTCGGTCCCGAAGTACCATATCTGAGTGCTATCGGAGCTCTAATGTATTTAGCTAATAATACTAGACCAGATATTGCATTTTCAGTAAATTTATTAGCTAGGTATAGCTCATGTCCAACAAGGCGTCATTGGAACGGGATCAAGCACATATTCCGTTATCTCCGTGGTACAGTTGATCTTGGCTTATTCTTCCACAAAGACGCAAAAGCCTCTTTAATCAGATATGCAGACGCCGGATATTTATCAGATCCGCAAAAGGCGAAATCACAAACCGGGTACGTATTTACTTATGGTAACACCGGAATCTCATGGAGATCTATGAAGCAGACATTGACAGCTACATCATCAAATCATTCTGAATTAATTGCATTGTATGAAACCGGGAGAGAATGTGTGTGGCTGCGATCTATGATTCAACACATCCAAGATGAATGTGGTATGAAAGCTATTAGTTGTCACCCGACTGTGATCTACGAAGACAACACCGCATGCATAGCTCAAATTAAAGAAGGCTACATCAAAGGAGATAGAACGAAGCACATATCTCCAAAGTTTTTCTCTACTCATGACCTTGAGAAAGAAGGGACAATCAACATTCAACAAATCAGATCCAGTGAAAATCCAGATGATCTCTTCACCAAATCATTACCCCCGAAGAAGTTCATGGAACTTGTACAGAAAATCGGCATGCGCCGCCTTAATAATTTATGTTAATTTCAGGGGGAGTATTTGAATGCACTGCACTCTTTTTCCCTTCATCAGGTTTTTATCCCAGTGGGTTTTTCTTGATAAGGTTTTTAACGAGACAGTACATCCAAATACAACACATTATAAGTCGTAATTTTTACCCCTTTAATTTCACACTAATTTTCACAATAAATTTTAAACATAACAAATACCTATTCAAGGATGAACATTCAAGGGGGAGTGTTGTAAAATGGCTAGAATGACATGTGTGAATTGTCCATCCTTGTAATCAGGACACCTAGCTAGTTCTCATCCTTACTCATCAAACACAAGTCCTTGTAATCACACACATGGCTAGATTCAAAACTGCCAGCAAATCATGTAGAATCATTCCTAGATGATTCATCCCATGTCTGGCTAGTATAAAAAGGGCTTGCTCAGACTCTTGTAAAAAAATTCAGATACTCAGAAATTTCAGATATTAAGAAGAAGTAATTTAGAAGTTTTTATCTATATATCTATCTCTTAAATTTAGTTTTCATCTTCTTCATTTCACAACAGTGATCAATAATTTTTTTTAAATAAACTATATTTAGTGGTGAAAGTCACCTCGGTGGAGCGGGATAACAAAGATAGGTTGACCAAGAGGGAAAGTGATGTCATCTTTACAAAAAGGAAACTAAATTTGAACAAACAGTGATACCTGACTTCGTTAAGGAACAAGACAAAATCAGTGCAGATGGCAAATATCTGTGCTGATTTCTCTTGGTGTCATTTTTTATGCTAAAATTTTTTTAAGTTGCCTTCAGGTTTTTGGGAAGGTTTAATTTCCTACATGGTTTCATAAATTTTAGAAGGGTTGACTTATTAGCTTAGTCAAGTTAATTGACTCATTCACTAATTAGCTTATTACATGTTCTTCGCCGGTTGATCGGCTTAATACTCAAAGTTAAAGGTTATTTTTAAATAGTTTAAGTAAGATTGTATAGTACATGGTTAAAATACAAACTTTTTATGTTCAAAGTTAAATATGCAAACTAGTGTATTTCTAAATGTTTCAAATATTTTTTCAAAAAAGGCATATATATGTCAAGAGCATTGTGGGAGACTGTTTGGGTTTTTCTCACGTTCCCTTTTTGAAGTTGTATGTTACGATTTCGAGTGTGACGAATACGTTTGACTTAAAGTTTGTGAATTCTCTGCTGCATAATAATAAGACTTTTGATGGTAGTTTAGAAATCTCTGTGTCGAATTAATATTACGTTTTGCTGTTTTTATCACATTTTGAATAAGTACGCAATAATTGTTAGGTTTTGGTGCGTCTCTACTCTCTCTGAAAAACTTCCAACTCCACCACTGATATGGTATGAGCTTCGACAATTACCGAATCAAATCGGATAGCCGAAAATCAGCTGTTTTGACTGATTCTGCTGAAATTTATGAAGTTCTAGCTGAAGTGACTGCATGAGCTACTTCAGCCAATAAATCCAGAAAAGTAACTTCAACCTTACTTTTTTGGCTTATTACACAATTCAGCGCACGAAAGCAAAAATTACGTGTTTGGTAAAAAAGTTGGCTGATAAGTCTGATAAGCCGAAAAACAGCGTTACAAAAATTTCTAATAGTTCGGCATGTCTTAGTCAATATTTATTTTTTATATTTTCTTGCTTTAATACTTTTGCTTGATTGCAAAAATAGTTATTACCACAAAGGTCTTGGGTTCGGGAGAGGCAAAGAAGTCGGTCATAGGTGGATGTTTGCGGCAGCCGGCAGTTTTGAAGCAGCAACTTTGATAAATCAATGGAAGACGTGGTTCACCAATACAAACGTTGTTCTTCTTGGATGAAGAAGAACAAGGAGAGGTTTCGCACAATGGTACGGCGGATTTCGCTTTGGTTGGAGTAATTCGGACTGATCGTAAGATAAAATTTCAGTTTTTCAAAGAATTGATGGCCTCTTTGTGGAGACCTGTGAAAGGTGTATCAATTCAGAAAATTGGCGACAAAAGGTATATCTTTACCTTTTATCATATTTTAGATATGAGTCGTGTTCTAGATGAAGGCCCATGGTTGTTAGAACGAAATTTATTATTGTGAAAAGAGATTTAGGCTGAAGATATTCCCTTACAAATTAAACTTTATAAGTCTGATTTTTGAGTGCAAGTGCACAATCATGCTTATGGCTTTATGAACCTGGGATCTGCTAGACAGATTGGCGATTACATTGGAAAATTCGTTAGTTTTGATGACAAGAAATCTGATGAAAGTTTTAATCCTTATCTGATGATTAGAGTTCGTATGGACATTAGGAGACCCCTGAAAAAAGGTACAATGTTGAAGAAGGTGGGTTTTAGCCAATGGGTGGACTTTAAATATGAAAAACTTCCTAACTTCTGTTTTGTTTGTGGTATTATTGGGCATTCAGATAAGTTTTGCCCGGTGATATATGAAGGGGAAAGTATCACTTTTGATAAAAATTTATGGAATGGACCTTAGGGCTAAGGCTGGGGCTGGGGTGAAGACCAGTCCCATAGGGGTACAAAGTGGTTGATTGAGAGGTCCTCCAGTATTGGGGTGGGGATGTCAGATGGACATGATACTGAGAGGCAGCACCGGAAGGAGTCTACAGGCACTGGGAATAGCTCTATCAAGGAAGGGAACTCAGTCAGTCTAGAGGAGAGTTCGGGGGAGCCAAAGCGAAGAAGAACCTGGGAGGAAGGGAGACATGACGCTATCACAGGGGAAGGCATGGCACTCACAGGGGAAGGCATGGCACTTGACGGTAAAAAAAAGGAGCGGAGGCGGACCTCCTGTAGGTCTGCCGGTCTATGTGGGGTGGCCGAGAAGACCAAAGGAGGCGTCGGTGGAGATGTTCTTGGCTTTGGAGAAGAATAATTATTTTATTGTTATTTTTATTTTGGTTGTTGTTGATCAGACTGTGTTTTTTTATGTTGTTTTTGCTTTCAATTGTAAGACTCTTGCATTACGATCGGGTGAGTTTGGGTCTTTTTCAATCGCCTGTGGCTCAAGTTTGCCCATTAATTGATCAGCGAGTTATATTGCTTGTTTGAAGGTGATTAACTCCAAGTCTGGTTCGCGGACTAACAGTTGGATATCAATTTAAGCCCCATCTTTTAAAAAAAATCATATCTTAATGGATATGTGAATTTGCAAATTGCGTAAATGAGATTTGATTTTGCACCTCACTTTTTGGATGATATTAGACTTTGTACTCCATTTTGAAATACTTTGATTTTGCACATCATTTCACTCAAAAATCCTTTGACTTTGCGACCCACTCATAAACTTTTCTTCACAAAATGTTATATGATGGGGTGCAAAATCAAAGTTTTTCCAAAATGGAGTGTCAAATCCAATATCACCCAAATAGTGAGATGCAATGTCAAATTCTCCTACCTAAAAGTTACAAAACCAAAATATGAAATATTTCTTAGTATACTTTTTATCTCTTGCGGTTTTTGTATATTGGTGGTGAAGTACTCCGTATAAAAATAACTGATACTATGATAAATAATTATATACAAGTACTTCTCATAGAAACATAAAATGATTTTGTATTATATTTTTCAGATATACAATATCAAGATTACAAGAACTATTGTTGTTCAATCGATTATACAATAATATGTACTTCGCTCTAAGCTAATTTACTTGTTAGTTGCTAGGTGACCAAAAGCCATGGAATCCCATGGGGAAAGTGAATATGGCTGGAACTTCAGCTTTTGCCACTATTTCCTTACTTTTCCCAATGTGTTTTGCATCCAACACAACCAGATAACACCTATGGCTTGAAACCGCGTACTGCAAATTCACAATAAAAAATAGTCAATTCTTTGTTCATGTCACATAATCTTAATATTTCATTCAAATTGTACTAAGACTCTGTTAGATCATCTCTATTTTCAACTTACCAGTCTTATCGGCTAATTTTTATCAAACCCGTAATTTTTGAAGAAGTGGGTTGGATTATAAAATAATCAAAAGGGAGATTTGCAATTTTGGTCATATAACTTTCTGTTGTTATCGTTATTGGTCCTGTAACTTTAATCACTTGCAATTTTGGTCCTGTAACTAATAAATCTTTGCAATTTAAAGATTTTTCCACCGGAAAGTACATTTTCCGGCAGAAATTTCTGACGTCGGCGACATCTTTTCTTATATGCTATCGCCGGAAAGTGTACTTTTCAGGGGGAGTCCTTAAATTGCAAATATTGATTACTTACAGGACCAAATTTGCAAGTGACCAAAGTTATACTAGTATATGACTGAAATTTACAGGACGAAAATTGCAAATTTCCCTAATCAAAAATAAGGTAAAGATACTTTAGAGTACTAAAGTAATACTCACTTCCACAACAAGAAGATAGCCATCATCTTCATCTTTGGTTCCTTTGGGAACAAACACAGGCTCACCAATGAATCGTCTCCTGCCTGAAGACCATGTTTGGGTGGTCTTATTTGCTGTGTTTAGTTTGACCACCGTATCAAAAGGGAAATGCGGTAGAGCACGGCGCGAGCCGGATGATGTCGCCGCATAAACGCATGAATTTTTCCTGCCTGAAAAGTCCGGATGAATGGCTGGGAAATCTGCCGCTTTACCCCATTCATTCAAATCATTCACCGATGCATTTTGGCAATCACCATTTCTATCCAAACTTATGGACACCTATATCATCAAATTGGTAGTATTTGAGTCTAAACTTTCAAATAAAAGTCATAAACTAGTTACTCCATTTGTCCTGAAAAAAATCGTCAAATTGACTTTGACCAATGATATTTTTTAATATGAAATTATTTAGAATGTAAAAATTATATATGTCAAAATGTTTTTTCCTTATTCAAACTATTTTCATAAAAGAAAAATTTATAAATTACATATTAATTTAATAATTAAAATTATTGTGTAAATCTCCTCTTCTCGTCATTGATCAAGAAAAATCAATGTGACAAACTTTTTGGGGACGGAAGTAGTAATTTAAGCGCAAGAGTTTGTAAAGGAAATACTACCTTGTATAGGTGAGGCAAGAGTTTATCTTCGCCCTTTCCCCTATTCATCATCGAGGGGTCCAATATTCCATTTTTCCAATCATATCCTGCACATTGGAAGTAATTAAACACGTAGTAATAAACAAAATATTAAAATCAAAATTAAAGTGGTAACCTTGCAGATGATTTCAATCAATAGTGCTTCTACTGATCACAAAGTGATGGTCTTATAATTAACTTAACAATATGATAAATACCACCCCGTACATATATTGCAAAAATATCATCATATCAATCACAACTATTACGAGTAATAAATATTGCGTACTATGTTAATGTACATACTAGACATGCTCATGATAGTATGTGAGTATGTGACTCCTATTAGTCATGTAACATTATTTGTAAGTCACACCCGGAGTTTCTTATAACTAATAAATTTGTCAACAAAATGTATACTTGTCTCCTCTTAATATTTATACTTTCAATATGATCAAGCAAGTATTTTTTTTAGAATTAAAATAACTACTTCTGTTTATGCACTTTATCTGTATTCTAATCCCATTTGAATCTATTTTATACGAGGATAGTACACTATATAGACAAAAAGATTGACATTAATCTAACATACCGAACATTTTCTGGAAATTGAACCATCGATAAGAACAGGCAGAAGCCTGGATTTGAAGCTCAAGATTTCCAGTTTTCTCATCTTTGTGCTCAAAGGCATTTCCGACATGTAATACCCACATCTGCAATGGAACTTCAATGGGTGTTTTCCAGTCTCTGTGGGTTGTTTGGCTCTGAGGAAAGCGAGGAAGCAAATAAAGAGGAGATGTTTGTTTGCTTGGATTCACGGATAGTGCAGATATCATTGGAGAAAGCCCACAAACAGCCCTCATTGATCCTGCATCGCACCGGCCCGTTATTATCACTAATAAAACTATGTCGTTTTTTTACTTTCTATGACGTATTTGCTATTGCAATTTTTCACTAGCACGGTAAAATACATAATTGGTACCTTTATAAACTTTAGGCTAAAGGGTTAAATAGACCCTTAAACTGAATTAAAGTGTTAAATTAGCCCCTTATATAGGAGGTTCTGCCCGGCCGTCTCTAATTGGGGCGGTTCCCGGTGGAATTTTTTGATAAAATTTTTTGAGCATCTTCTTCATTAAGTCTAGTTTACACATACCAAATTTCAGCTAAAATTTCAACTGGGAAGGCAGTCAAATGATTTTCTGAAATGTACTGTGTTGTTTAACTTTGCAGTTATCTTCAAAAAATCATTTGACTGCCTTCCCAGTTGAATTTTTAGCTGAAATTTAGTATGAGTAAACTAGACTTAATGAAGAAGATGCTCAAAAAATTTCATCAAAAAATTCTCCCGGGAACCAACTCAATTGGCGACGGCCAGGCAAAACCTCCTATATAAGGGGCTAATTGAACACTTTAAGTCAGTTCAAGGGCCTATTTGACCCTTTAGCCTAAACTTTATTATAAAGAGTAATTTAAATTTGCACCTCATTTTATTGTCCAAATTAGACTTTGCACCGCGTTTTTTAAAATATTTGTTTTTACGCCCTTACCCGTATGAAAAGACAAGGAGACAAAGAAATGGATCATAAACAATTTTATACTATCGTATTATGATTTATTATTTTATATTAATCCAGTGTGAAGAAAATATTGAAAAGCTTTACTGGCCGAAGACGACATGACGTTATATACAGAGATAACGTCATAATATCCTGAACAACGCACATAATATCCGTTTTGGTTTAATTTGGCGCAATATTGTCCAGCACTCCAACATACTACGTATTTATATAAATAAAGCTAAGGATTGTGTGGTTAAGGTTATTCTATTTATTTTTTATTTGAAAAGAAATTGTTCTTAAAATATTATCAAAAAGTATGGAAAAATTGTGACTAAATTATCCATAAGTACACTTTTATAATGATTCTGATGTAAAATTTTAATTCACATTGGTTTTGATCGCGCGTGTTTATAACTTTCTTAAAAGAATGCAAATAACTTTCTTCAAATACTTCGTATAAAGTTTAGAATTTTATTAGAGAGTGTTATTATATACAGATCGAGTAAATCAACTTTTTTTAGTTGATTTGACTATTATTATCCTCTTGACTATGGGTATGTTTGGCAAATGACTTATCAGCCGGCTTTTAGCTTATTTGACCCATTTCAGCTGTTTGATTGGTCAAAGAAGCTAATAATGATGTTTGGTAAATGGCTTTTAAAATTAGCTTGTTGAGTTTGAAAAGCTGAAAAAATGGATTGTTGAAGAAGCTAAGGGGGCAGCTTATTCATTCGATTGGTTCAATTTACACTCTATCAGCCATTTCGAAACAACCAATTTTACCAAACAGTTATCTATAATCAGCTAACATAACCAGCCGGTCAAAACAGCTAACACAATCAGCTGTTAGGAAACAACTGACACAACCAGCTAACAACAACAGCTAACAGCCATTTGCCAAACATACCCTATATCAATCATTTAATTAGAGTGTTTGGTTAGCCCCCAACTTTTATAGTTGGCCGTTCTATATATTCCTATACTACCCCATTTCTTTTTCGTATCATCATATACTAATTAAATCTGTCAATTCATGAAAACAAAATTAGAATAATTATTGCATGTGTTAATATATACATGCATTTATATTTTTTAAAATAATTAAAATGATTTAAGTAGTTGTATTAATTATATATATACTGATAAAAATAATATCCAACTATTTCATGAAAACAAAAATTAGAATAATTATTGCATGTGTTAATATATACATGCATTTATATTTTTTAAAATAATTAAAATGATTAAAATGTCTTTAAAAGTCATTTAATTAGCTATCAACTATTTGTAAATAACTACTACCTCCGTCCCACTAAGATTGGGACGAAAGAAGGTGACACGATTATTAAGAAAAGTGGGTTTGTGTGGTTGATATTAAATTGATAAAGTAAGAATAAAGTAAGAATGATTTAGAGCCACACAATCTTTACCAAATTTGGTATGGGACAATCTTAGCGGGACTTCCCGAAAAGGTAAAATGGGACAATCTTAGCGGGACGGAGGGAGTATATAACAAAACACTACTTTACACCGTAATCAAAAAAACCAACAAAATCTGATGTTACCTATCATTCAAAAGCCAACAGTCAGTTACTAAACCGCCTAAAACCAATCAGAATGGACGTGGAATATCAAAATGGGAGAAGAATTTTGTTAACCCCTCAAAAGAGGGTGAACATCACCCCATCCGTGTGGGCTGCCACATAGCATGACAATGCTTTTAAATTTTGCAATTGTTATAAATTTTGCATTTTTTGTTCAATAATTTCAAAAAATATATCAATTTTTTTAATTTTTCGTGATCTTTCATATGGTACTAATATTGTATATTTAAAATAAAAAAACGACTTAAAATTGATCTAAGAAAAAAAGATTTTTTTTTCAATTTTTTATATATGAATATGGATACCACTAGAAACATCATAAAAAGTTATCGATTCTGAAATATTTTTTATTTAAAATTAGATTATATATAAAAAGTTATAGTGTATAAAAAGTAATTAAAGGGAGGAACAAATTAATCGAACTCCCAAAATGGAAAATGGTTCAACTAACTACGTATTGTAGACGCACTACATACCTGGGACATCGAGTTTGATGCGATTGCCAAACAAGACGTAATGATAATCAGTGAGCGCCCAATCATGGATCATTAGGTGATCTGGGATGCTAAACTCTTGTTGGTCTAGTAACTTGAAGTTGGCATCAAATTCTGGAGATGAATTAACAACAAATTAATAAATCAATATATATAGAGGCCATTTGGCAATACTGTTTTTCGGCTTATCAGACTTATCAGCCAACTTTTACACCAAACACGTAATTTTTGCTTTCGCACGCTGAATTGTTTAATAAGCAGAAAAAGTAAGGTTGGAGTTACTTTTCTGGTTGTATTGACTGAAGTTACTATAGGTGACCATTTTAGTTATATTTTACATAAAAAATTCTTTATTTTAATAATAAAATATATTTTAAAAATAATTTTTTCTTAAATCAGCAGAATCAGTCAATGCAGCCACTTTAGCCAGATTTTCATAAATTTCAGCAGAATCAGCCACAACAGCCGATTTTCGTGCTACCAAACGGGCTCATAATGGGTTCCTACATTTTGCATAAAAAAAAATTGAAATCTTCATTTGTGTGGCATCATTAATTAATTAAACTAATAACGATGTTCTCCTTCTAATAAAAAGATGATAAAGTTTTGCAATATACGAGAAAGATAAGTGAAGGTATGGAAAGGTGTAGAATCTGTGACACCGGCCTTTTGGCAATAATGTTTTTCAAATTATCATTCTTATCATCAAATTTTATCATTATAGACGTACGTTATGATTACGCGTGTTGAATTGTGTAATAGTAAAAATAAGTAAGGTTTCAGTTACTTTTTTTTATTGTTTTGATAGAAGTTACTATAGAGAATCATTGTAGTTATTTTTTCATATAATTTTTCTTTATTTTATTAATAAAAGTTATTTTAAATATAATTTTTTTCAAATCATTAGAATCAGCCTATTCAGTCACTTCATTCAAAAATTAATAAATTCCAGCAGAATCAACCAATTGAGTCAATTCCAAAGGGCCATATATATGTAAATAATGTAATATATATACTCCATCCGATTCATAAAGAAGTTTCACCTTTCTTTTTCGACCAGTTCTAAAATTAAGTTTCACTTTCAAACATTTCCTTATTTGTCAAATTATTATCTACATCAAAACAGTTCCAAACAGTATCAAACAGTGTAAAAACAATGTCAAACAATGCACTCTACAGTAAAGTCAAATTTCTTTTTTTAATATGTGTGAAGTCAGAACTGGAACATCTTTATGAATGAGAGGGATTATATAAATACTTTATTACTCGTACTACCTATATACGGAGTATATGGTATCCCGTGCATATATGGTGGATAGCTCGGTAGGAATCAGAATTAAAAGAAAAATATATGAGAACTAATCTTATTTTTAAAGGGTAGAACTATTTAATCTCTATCTATATTGAATACCATATTAGCGACTTTAATCGGTCTTACATGAGTAAGATTCACTATTTTTGTCATTTATTCAAATAAAGAAGCACCAAGTAAATTACTAACCGTAGAATGTGAAAGTGCTCCGCGGGAGTAACATATCTTCTGCGTTGCATGACATTATGACAAGTCTGTTTCTAATTCCATCTATCTTGTAGTGTGACAAAAATCTCTTGGGACTCATCTTAAATACTCCTGCAATACAAATCAACTATCAGCATATATAGTGGCAAGTGCAAGAGGAAAGAATTAGGGAATTTAGTGAAGATGATTACATTCAAATTTGCATAGCACTAACCATGTTGATATACAAATATTAATTTCAATTACGATAGTATATTTTATTCGTAAATTTTGCTTCAACTTTATTTTAGAAAATTTCAAATAAGAATGACTAATAATTATTCTTGAGGAATTCATAAGTTTTGTTTATGAATGAACATTATTTCCGTTTTCGGTAAAAGTTTTTTTTTTTTGAAATGATTTTCGGTAAAAGCTTAGTTACACCATTTTTATTTTCTCAGGAGTTCATGAAAAAACACTAACAATTGAAAAATGAAAAACAGTTTAGTTATGTTATTAAATTGCCCTAGACTTCGGCTTCGATATGGTTAGGTGCGTAGCTAGGGGGCAACCCTTGTTACGGTCCAGACCAAATTTCAAAAATGTCTTTATTTTTAATGTAAAAATTTTCGTGAAAAATAAAATTAAAAATGTTATTTGTACCGGCCCAATGTCCTGTCTCTCTCCTTGATATGGTTACTTTTCAAGAAAATGAATATACCGACTTACATACATTGTACGTACCATAAAGAATTGGCCTCAAAATTTGGGCAGCTACGTCCCAGAAATTTGCCATATGCGGCTTAGGAGTTTTATGGGCAACAGAATTAGTGTTATTGTTGACGAGTTTGAACTTGCCGATCGTTTGGAGACTAGTAGAATCAATCTCGTAAGGATCGCCACCTTCCCACAGGCAAAACAACCTCCCACCCCACTCCATAACACTAGTGTTGGCCACATTCTTCATCACCTTAGTATTCCCAATCATTTTCCCTCCTCTCAAAACCGAAAACGGGCCCCGGTGCGTGAATCGCCACTGGCCCGTTTCGATATCTCGCTCCTCTTCATGCGCCTCTGTCTGAATGTACCGCGACCTGAATGTGACCTGGCCCGTCGCGGTATCTATTTGGAACGCCCTAAGGTACCCGTGCCCGTCTAGCGGATGCACGGTCGAACCATGGTCATCGGTGAATAGGCCTGGCCCGGTCAAATAATAGGTTCCGGATGGAAAGTCGGATGGTATCGCGCCCTCCACCACCCGGAGGGCGACGGGTTCAACGGCTTCGGACCGTTGCGACACGAACAAAGATTGGTAGTCCCGGAAAGCGGTCACTCGGTCATCTAACAAGTCCGGGTTATCTAGCACATCAGGTATCGGGGCTCTAGTTGTGGTGGGAATTGAGATCGCTCTTGATACATGGCGACTTATTAGAGGCAATGACACTTGGGCTGTTGCCGTCGCTGCCGCCCCCACCGGGAGTTTAACTGGATGTGAAAACTTTGGAGGTGTAATAGTACTGTTATTGTAATGGGAATAGCAAATCGTGGGCTGCATTTTACCTTTGTAGGTAATGAAAATTTGAAAATGATAGGATGGCGTTACAATGAAGCTTATTGTAGTGAGTTATGATATGGTGATGGAAAGCATTAATAAGGTCGTTTGCTATATATATAGACAAATATTGATGGGAGGTACAAATTTCCTTTTAAAAAATTATTTTATTTAATTTATACCCCGAAAAAACAACGGACAGCCCAATAGTTCCATATCTGGCTTCCTCTCAAGTCTCAACGGGTGATACTTCACAATAAAAGTACAAATAAGAGGAGCTAATTATTCCAAAAATGTTATCAACCTCAAATTATCGAAAACAGTTGTTTGGTGAGTTTTTAATCCGATGAACGAGAAATGATAATCGAATCATGTATTCATTCATGTGCACAATTCAACCGGATTTCATTAGCTGTCATATTTTTGTAAGTTTGATCGAAAAAACTCTGCACTAGTTATAAAGTCATGAAAATTACAAACCGCAAGTATTACCGACTAATAAAAACAATTGATAAATCAAACTTTGTTTGTTAAAGGAATTGGATAATTTGAATTTGCACGTCATTTTATCGTCAAAATTGGACTTTGCACCCTGTTTCTAAAATTTTTATTTTTGCACCTCCAATCCATGTGAAAAGACAAAAATGCACATCCATTAACAATTATGTTGGCCTTCAACAGATTCCTAAACTAATTACCCAATAATGCTAACATAGGGTTAAAGTTTTTATGTTCCCAAAATATGAATAACATAGGGCATATTTACTAACAGAGATATTTTTTCAGTTTTCCAGAAAACTGGAAAACTGGAAAAAGGAAAACAAAAGGCGTGTTTACCAAAAAAATGCTGGAAAACTAGAGAAAGGAAAACAGAAAAATGTGTTTACCAAATCGTTTTCCAAAACCAAAAAAATGAGATATATCTTTATTTTTCTTAATGAATTAGAGAATTGACTTCTACTAGTATTCCAAATTTGAAAATTGTGGATGTTGCAGTGTCGCTGCAATGAATTTACATACTTACGCCTAGTGGTGACGCCGGTCCCACTTGGGTGTAATTTCTGGTCCAGTCTGGTCTACGACCTAATGGTCCCTATCCAGTTCGGTCAACAACCTAGTGGTCCATGTTTAGTATGGTCAACGATTCAGCGGTACTGTCATGTTCGGTCAACTGTCGGGCAGTCCCGGTCTGGTCCGGTCGATGGTCGGGTAGTCCTGATCCTGTTCGGTCGATGTCTGGGCAGTGAGGTAGTCCAGTCGGGTCCGATGAATAACTCGTCGATCCCTGTCTGGTCGGGTCAATGATTCGGTGGTCCCCGTCCGGTTCGATCAACGACCCGATGGTCCCTTTAAGGTTCGATAAACGACCTGGCGGTACATGTCTGGTCCGTTCGATGGATAATCAATCCCGGTCCGATCTGATCCAGTCAAAAACTCGGCGGTCCCTAATCAATCAAGTCAATGACTCGGCGTCCCTCTCATGTCTGGTCAACAACCCGGTGGTCCTCGTCTTGTCTGGTGAATGCTATGACTGTCCCTGATGGTCTCTGTTTAGTTTCGACGACGACGACCGAGCGGTCTCATTCGGTCCAATCAAGTATTCGACGGTCCATGTCCGGCCCGGTTGACGACCTGGCGGTTCGGTCCCCGTTTTGTTAAATTATTTTGCCAACCAATAGGAAAAAGAATTAATCAAACTAGCCGTTGAGACTGACCGAGACTGGGTACCTTAATAGTGTACTACTAAGTTCGGTTGTGAACTGTGACCATACCTTCGGTCTTCCGGTCAGTCACAGAACCGGATGAAAAAATTTGATGAACATGTTTTCATATTTTAAAATGGAAAACTAGAAACTAAAAACATAAAATTGGAGATAGTTAAATGCCTAATGCTATTTATTCTTTTTGCTTTTTAAAGTACGTATAACGTCGGTTTCTTTCAAAAACTCACGTTTTATGTATTTTTGTTTTTTAATTAAATCGTTTTACTTGGTTTACGAGAAAAACGATGTGGTAGATGCTACTCATTAAAAAACGATTACTTCTTACATCGGTTTTCTGATATAACCGACGTGGTAGGTCTTAGTTATTATTAAAAAAAAAACACGTTTCCAAAATAACCGATGTGGTAACTAAACTACGATGTCGGTTTAGTGAGCGATGTAATATGATATTAACTAAAATGTCTCTACTTTACAAGTCTCTTTTAAAACCAATATGAAAGGGTATAAATAACCGCCACGAAAACCCTCTTTTGTTGTAGTGTGGAGAACAGACTAGAAAACAAAAAATTGGAGAACGGAAAACAGAAAAGAAACCTGAAAAATATCTCTGTTAGTACTACATATATTGTATATATAATAAGCAAATTATATTTTATGTATATTAAAAACACAAAAATTGTAAAATACTACGTATATTGTATATATAATAAAAATGTAAAAAAAAGAATTAAATTTAAAAAAAAAAGATAAATAAAAAATAAAAATATTATATATGCAGGCCTCTCCCACGCGCCTCCTTGCACTGCCACCTCCAACCGTCGAAAAAGATGTCATCTTGTCCAAAAAATGACACATTTATGTGAAATGTCAGGAAGTTTACATTATTACTCCGGAAAAGACAAAACTATTACCCTACACTTTTGGATGACAAAAAAGTGATTAAATTTAATTTTTCCAAAAATGTGACTACTCTTTGTATAAAATACATTTCTGATTTGTATTACCCCTTATTACGTTTTTTATTTTATTTATTTATGTTTTATTTTTATAAATAAAAAATTATGATTAAAGCATAGTACGGATAGAATGGAAGTGTTGCTCCTGTTTTGAAAATTTAAATATCATGCTCCTATTCTTGCAATTTAACTACGGAGTATTATTATTTACTTGTATTAGTTTTTTGTTTGGCAAAGCTTTGTAACCTATTTTAATATCTGCCAACATACTTGAATTGAGAGGAATTGGAATATGTAACCTTCTCCTTGAAATGTCACATAATGCCAAGAGAGCAGGTATTTGGCAAATGGAGAAAACCACCACTGGCCAAGTAATTATCCCTAATGAAATCTACTGACATGTACTACCTCCGTCCCAATTTGTTTTGCAAAATTTCCTATTTTGGTTGTCCCAAAATGATTTTCCACTTTCTATTTTAGGTATATAATTAAGAATGAAGTGACTAACTTATTCTTACTTTTTACTTTTTTCCCACATCTACTTTTAGGATGATGGGCAAAAGTGTAAAAAGCAAGCATCATTTATTGTTTTTCCTTAATTCTTGTGCCGATCAAAGTTTGTAATTCAAATGAGGATGGAGGGAGTACTTCGTATTAGTTAATGCAATCTTCTGTTAGCCAATGGAGAACAATCCATTGCCACACATCCTTTTTTTTTCTTTTGAAAATTCTGAAATTGACTTCGGTTTTAAGAGCAACTCCGTCGGTCCGTCCCTTCGCTCTTGCCAAAGTCCACTTTACCAAAAGTAGTTATAGTGGCGTAATGACAAATGTACGGTGAATTCATAGATTTAAGAAAATTTCTCAAACTACAATTGAATATTCATAGATTTAGGATGTTTTTACTTGGACTTTAATTTGTCTCAGATCAGATCAGAATAGACTTGAGTAGTTATAAAAAAATACAAAGAAACAAGACCGGACCAGACTAGTAAATTACAGTCCAAGTAAAAACATCCTAAAAACTAATGTCATGAAATCATATTTCAAGATTAACATATAATCATATGATCGTACTAATAGTAATATACCAATTTGCAAAATTTTTCAAACATGACAGTAATTAAGATAAAATACAGAACTTTTTATTTGAAATTTCACGTCACTGTAACGTAATTAAGATAAAATACAAAACTTTTTTCAAGCAATGTTTTTACTTGGACTGTAATTTGGTAGTCTGGTCTGATATGGTCTGGTCTTGTAACGTCTGGTCTCTTTGTACTTTTATAACTATCCAAGTCTGGTCCGAGACAGATTAGAGTCCAAGTAAAAACAGTCTTATAATCTTACTTAAGGTAAATTTTGATATTTTTATATTATAAAAGACTATTGTGATTAACAAATTCATAATTCTTGAAGTTGATGATGAGAATGTTTTTACTTGAACTGTTTTCAGTCACAGTCCAGACCAGACTTAAACGCACCAGATCGGATCAAATCAGACCAGACCAGAGTTCCATAGATATAAAATACGCAAATACCAAACATTTATCAGACCAGTTCAGACCAAACAAGACCAAACTTAAACCGACCTGACCAGACAAGCAAATTTTAGTCCAAGTAAAAAACATCCTCACTCATTCGGGAAAACCTTTAGTAAATCTCTTCATAATCTAATAAAATATATTTTGGATTGTTTTAATTTTATGTTTATACCCTTTGCCAATTGTTTTTTGTTTATACCCATTCAAATTAAAAGAAATGTCAAACATAGGTAGCTTTTCGTTTATGTAAAGATTTTTTTTAATATAGAGGATATATGTGTGTGTGGGTATAAAGTTATTACTCCTTATTAAATAAAATACTTTCTTGATGTGTGAAATTGTACAATGCACTTTTAACCACTATAGTGCATTTGTATGAAAAGTTGATGCTCTTTAAAAAAATTGGAGGCGTTTTCTTCCAAATAAGCGCCTCTAAACACGCGTTGCAGCACTATGTGTTAGAGGCTTCATAAAGCACCGCGCTTGTAAATAAAGCACTTCTAAATGATGTTTTTGCACCTATGTACGTAAAGATAAACTTTTTTAGGAGGGAACGCGATGACATTTTGTAAATAAGTTAAACTTTTTACAAACTTGTAGGTGTGCATATAGCATTGTAAAAGTGAAATTTTAGCATTTTAGATGTTAAGATCATTATTTATTTTAAACGGTCCATATATGCATATATGCATGCATGCATACACACACACACAATCCTACACACACATATACAAAGCATATGTATGTATGTGTGTATGTGTGCGTGTGTGTATTTGATCTGATTCCAATAAAAAGTGATCTTTTGATCTCATACAAAGTGCAAATTGAACGAATTCACTTTTGTAATAGTATAATTATAAGAACTCTTATGTAGTTACTCTTAATATTCCAAATTATAAATACAATACTAGGGCTACCTATTGGGTAAGTCATTCCATCATAATTATTATTTCACATGGTATCAGCAGCATAGGCTTTCCAACCCTAGAAAAATATGTCGCATCTCCATCTACGGCGCACGTCCCTCCTTCATCATTGCCGCCTGCAAGCAGCCAGCCGATTCTCCAACCTTCGGCATAATCTTCTTCGTCGATCATGTTCACCACTGCACCGGTTCTTCCAACAACTTCAGCGCCCGTCCAGACGGAGCAACTCTTTTCCTCCGGAGTCCTCATGTCACCGCAGCTTTCCTCAACTCGGCTCACACTGCCGCATCCTCTGTTGGGGTCTCTTCGGATGTTCAATATGCCGGAACCGTTCTCTTGGACGCCAACCATGCCATCCTTGCAGCAGCCTACTCAACCAGCTCGTTCGATGGCACCTATTCCGACGCAATACTCGGTTCCCACCTTCTCCGGCCAACCGGGTGTCATGTCGTTCGAGTCTGCCTCCACGTCTCGGCACACTACTCCTCCGGTAAATGCCTCCACTTTATCCCATTTATCATCTCAATTAATATTTTTAACCCCCAATGTTACCAATGTTATGACTACCCGTTTGGATAAAGTGGATGATTATCTTCCCTACGTACACAGTTTGAGTCACTTTTAGTATCTCATGGATTATTGGGAATTATTGATGGATCCATCTCTGCCCCTTCTCAAACACTTTTTGATGCCCCAAACCCTAAGTATCATTCATGGCTAAAAATTGATCAAACTGTTAGGTCATGGTTATTTGTTACTTTGTCTCGTAATATTTTACTTGAAGTACACATTCTTCGTTTTTCTACCTTAATATGGGAGAGATTGGAGACTCGTTTTATGGCAGCCTGTGTAGCTAGATCAATTGAGCTTAAAAGAATTTTATCTAGCTTGAAGAAAAAGGAGGACCAATCCATGGATGACTATTTGCGGGAGATTATTGTTTTGACGGATTCCCTAAACTCCATTAAATCTCCAATTAGAAACCGTGAAATTCTTCAGCACATTGTCGCTGGTTTGGGACATGAATATGAATCTCCCTCCGTCACATTGTTCTCAGATAGTTTTACTTTTGAATCTTTGCGGCCCCAATTAATGGCTTTAGAACAACGGGCTCTATTTCTGCGGTCACAAAATGCTCATCCGGGACATCAAGCCTTCGTGACGCAAGAGCAGCAGCCTGCAGTCCGCCCTCCAGGCCGAGGGGGTGCAGCTCGCGGGAATGGCGGCAAGGGCTTCCGTAGTGGAGGTCACGTGCAGGGACCCTGTGGCTGCGGCAGAGGTTATGCTGGACAACCAGGTTATGCCTATGGGGGACAGCAAGGAGGTTACGGCCACAGCCAGCAGGTGGCCATCCTCCACTCACTCTAGTGCCTAGACCGTACGGGTTGCAGCAGGGGGCTCCTCCCCGGGGTCCTTGATATGCACTAATTAGTAGTGCATAAGTGTATGTTTTTATGTTTGATTTGTGTGTATTGTTTATCGTTTTATTTAGTTTATAAACATTTGTGTGATTTTAGTTGTAATTGTATTTTAGTTCTCATTTGTAAGTTGTAAAGTAGAGTTAGGATTTATGGTGTTGGAAAGGAAGACTTTGAATGTGAAGAAAAATAATTCTTGGCTGCCCAGGACAATCACCCGGTCGGGTGAGGTATTGCACCCGGTCAGGTGAGAAATTTAAATGCGAAACTGCTCAGGAAATTACATCACCCGGTCGGGTGAGGTATTTCACCCGGTCGGGTCCGACTTGACCCGGAACACCAGAACGTGCCGAAGATCGCCAGAACGTGGAGGATATTTGATTTTGACATGCACCCGGTCGGGTGGACACTTTACCCGGTCGGGTACCCGGCCAAAGGTGTTGAAAAACACCTATAAATAGCCCCATTTTCCTTCACTTTTAATCATCCCTTCTTTCCTATACTTAAGCTCAGTCTAGAATAGCATTTCTTTATATTTCTTTTAGCATGTTTAGTCTCCAAATGAGGAGCTAAACTTCCATTTCTTGGTGTTGCTCTTGAAGCTTGTTGATTATTAAAGTTGTGAGTTATTTTCTTATCTTCTTCCCTTGAATATTAATTATTCCCTTAATCTATCTATATATTAATGTTGGGGAGTGTTGCTAAGATGACAATTAGTTAACATCTCAACATTAATTATGGTAGTATTTATTTTCTTCCTCTATATATTAATGTTGGGGAGTGTTGCTAAGATGACAATTAGATAACATCTTGACATTATTTATTGTAGGATTATTCATATTTAATCTTCTTCCTTGAATATTAATTCTTCCCTTAATCTATCTCTATATTAATGTTGGGGAGTGTTGCTAAGATGACAATTAGTTAACATCTCGACATTAATTACTACTAGAAACGATCAACGAACCGATGGTTAATCGTTGATGGCTTCACAAGTAAGTAACTTCGGTTTATTAATGCACGGTCGTGGTTAATAAACTTAAGAGGGATTAATTTTGTTGGTTAAACCGAAACCGTTGTGTTGAGGTTATCAATCTCAATTGATTTCATCAAGGAGTTAAGAGATTAAATGCTACTATTAAGTCGGTATATGGCGGTGTTCTATACTTGACTAATAGTAAGGGTTATTAATGAACGGTCGTTGTTAATAGCTACCCTCGATGAATTGGATATACTCCTCGATTGAGTATTCGAGAGGGAATAAGTTATAGATATAACAATGATCGACTAAAATATATCAACAAGTGGAAAGTAGCAATGCCAAGTCCTTTTTATCTTTGATTTAAACCACGTAACTCGTTCATCTTCGTGTTTAATTTAATTAAATCACTCAATCCCAAAACCCCCTTTTATTTACTAGTTTATAAAAAGAGAATTTTTCCTTTCCCTGTGGATACGAACTCTACTTCACTATACTACGTATTAGTGCTAGTATTGAATTTATTTTGAGTGCACACACGACAAAGTGCACGTCAGTCCTCCACAGACTGGATTTCCAGGTATGGCATCAGGTAATTTTAGGTCTGTTTTATACGGTGTTCATGCTTTATCTACTTGTGTTACTCACCCCACTTTTGCAGGATTTCCATCTGTTGAGTATAATTATCAATCCCCTGCACCGCCCATTGTATGTCAGCTTGTTATTCCCCAGGTCACTCGACCATAAATCGTTCCCGTTTCACTAATTCTACACCAGCTTTGGTGGCTATTTGTACGGGTGAAACAAATGTGTCTGTGTGGTACCCAGATTCAGGTGCCTCCGCTCACATGACTCTGCATGAAGGTATTTTAACTAATACGTCTCCTTATTCTGGTCCATTTTCTGTACGTGTTGCTAATGGTCAAAATCTCCCTGTTTCACACATTGGTAATGCTAGTTTATCTACTGCTAGTCGCTCGCTTTTATTAAAATCGGTCTATCATGTTCCGCACCTTAATCATAATTTATTATCTATTCAACGTTTGTGTGCGGATAATGATTGTTCTGTTATTTTTAATAAAAAATACTTTTTTGTCAAGGACAATCACATGGGAACCATACTCCTCCAGGCCTCCAATAAAGACTCTGTTTATCCCTTTAGCGCAGCCCAGTTGACTACTCCGTCTCTAGCTTTACAGACCAAGCTTGTCTTTGGTCCAGTCTGGCACAAGCGTCTTGGTCACTGTGGGGATCGTGTTCTTTTAGTTCTTAGGAAAAATAAATTCATTACTAGCACTAGTACTTTTTCTCATGTTTGTGTTTCTTGTAAACTGGGCAAGTCCCACCGCCTTCCTTTTTCTGATGTTACTTCTCCATTACAAATTATTCATTTAGATGTTTGGCATTCGCTGGTGTTATCCAATTTAGGATTTAAATATTATGTCTCTTTTATTGACGCTTTTTCTAGATATACTTGGGTCTATCCTATGCATAAAAAGTCTGAAGTGTTTACTCTTTTTTGCATTTTTCAAAATTTAATAGAAAATCTTTTTAATTGTAAAATTAAATGTTTTCAAAGTGATGGTGGTGGTGAATTTATCAATTCTTTATTTCAAAATCATTTTCTCAAATGTGGCATCTTATTTCGCAAATCTTGTCTGAATACGCCTACGCAAAATGGTGTGGCTGAGCGTAAGCATAGACACCTTCTGGAACTCTCTCGTACTATGCTCATAGAGGCTGCATTACCCCCTACCTTTTGGGTTGATGCCCTTTACACGGCTACTTTTATTATCAATCGCTTACTTTTACCAAATTTGTGTGGTCTGTCTCCGTTCGAGATACTTTTTCAAAAACCGCCTGAATATAATTTTCTTCATATTTTTGGGTGTGTGATAAGCACAACAATTACTTATGTTTTACATAAGTAATTACATTTATCTGTATAAAAATGTGAAGCAAAAGCAGATAAATATTCTCGAGTTAGCGGAAACATGAAATACGACATGGAGCAATGAAAATAGGGTCAAAAGTCAAAAGGGATCGAAAACCGGCACTTCGGGATCAATTTCGGGCATCAAACGAAGAAAAGAAGCGAAGTACAAGTTTAGGCGCAGGGACCGGCGCCGGCCGATACCCTATAACCGGCGCCGGTCGTGCTATAACCGGCGCCGGTTGTTCCGATTTTCTGCTAAAACAGTCCGACGTGCAGAAGATTTCTGATGGGAAAACCCCATCTTCCTCCATATCTGATCAAATATTGCTTCCATACCCAATTGTTAGGCTTGAATAGACTAAAAGATGTCATTCTTTAGCCTATATAAAGCCCTTAATTCATCAAGCAATGACATTCCATTCCATAGATTAATTCTTAGCTTTTATATTTTTGTTCTTGGTATTTTCTTCAAGTTCTTGAGGAGGAAACTTCAACCTCCGAAATCATTGGTGTTTAGGTATTATTTCCTTTGTAATTTCATGTTCCATTACATTTCAATATTGTATTGTGATTAATATGAGCATTAGAGGCTAATTTCTTAGCTAAGGCTAGGGATGAACTTCTATGCCCACTAGGTGTTTGATAAAAGTTCTAAACCAATAAATTGTGATTTATCCTTTACATTTTGATTGTTTATGACTATGGTGTACAACATAGAAGTATGTTAAACTTAGTTTATGCTTGCAATTAACGTTGAGGTCTAAACTATGAACATTAAAGGATAAACATATATATTACCGAGAATAGAAATATATCCGGTATTATATGATACATGTGTGATGTCTTGATATTCAACGGGGTTTTCGGTAGATGAATGTAAGCCGTAACGGGACTTACACGTAACGAAAACCACGCTCTCGCTGCCTTAACCGGAGTTGAGAATATATTAGCGACATCGTATTCATAATTATTGGTAAAGAACTAATATTCAACCCTATGAAAGCATTTAAGTGATTCCCGAAGCCTTAGCCATTATTATCATTCATCTTAAACTCAAATTAATTAAAGTAATATCCCTGAAAATTAAAAAAAGGAAGAACCAAGTTGTTGTTTTCACAACAATAGACAAATCAAAATCCCTGCACTTTACTCGTTTATTTATTTAAAGTCAACTACTCTCGGACTAAATTAAACAACGTTTCCCTATGGATTCGACCCGGTATTTACCGGTATTTTATTACTACATCGGCACTTGTATACTTGCAAGTTTAGCCCGGTCAGTGTGCGTGTTTTCCAAATTTTATTGCATCTTCTTCAAATAAATTACCCCCACAGTCCATTATGTGTGTGTTTTTGGGCTATGCATTGGGCTATAAAGCCTATCGTTGCCTTGATCCCTGAACAGGTCGTGTCTATGTAAGCAGAGATGTAGTATTTCATGAAACCTCTTTTACCTATACCATCCTTAGCCAACCTACTGCTGCCTCGTCCCCACCCGACATCCTCCCACTTGGACCATTTATTCTCAACCCGCTCTACCCATATCTCAACCTGCGTCCTCCCCCGACCTGCCTATATCCACTCCGGCCAGTGTTGTCTCTTCGGCCAGCAGCAATCCGCCACCCAGCTCCAGCCCGCCAACGTGCACACCTATTCTCACCAACCAGTAGCTCCACCGAACACACCTCCCTTCACCATACACCCAGCAGCCCCCCACTGATACCCTCATCTCCCCATATGGCTCCCAACATCCATCACATGCGCACGAGAGCTAAAGATGGCATTTTTAAACCAAAAACAATTTTTAATTTAAATACTTTAGCTCTCCCTAATGACCCAACATGTTTTTCTCAAGCAAATAAAAGTTTAGTTTGGCGGGCAGCCAGGGCAGAAGAATTTAATGCTCTCATTGCTAATGCTACGTGGGATTTAGTACCTAGTGATACGAAAAGAAATGTGGTTAGATGTAAGTGGATTTATAAAATAAAATACCGTTCTGATGGATATATTGAGCGCCACAAGGCTCGTTTGGTAGCTCAAGGGTTTAATCAAGAGGCTGGGATAGATCTTTCTGAGACATTTAGTCTCGTGGTTAAACCCGCCACGGTTTGTCTTGTTCTTTATGTTGCCATTTCCGTAGGTTGGGCGGTGCCTCAGTTAGACGTTAAAAATGCCTTTCTTCATGGTCGTCGTATAGAAGAGGTTTACATGCGTCAGCCCCCAGATTTTATTCACCCATCCTAACCTTCTCATATCTGTAAGCTAAAGAAAGCTCTCTGTGGTCTGAAACAAGCTCCACGCGTTTGGTTTCATCGATTCAGTGGTTTTTTATTGTCTCATGGATTTTCACAAAGTCAGTCTGATTTTTCTATGTTTACATACCACTCTCAGTCACGCACTATTTATATCTTACTATATGCTGATGACATCCTCATTACTTGTAGTTCCGAGTCCCTAGTTCGTAACTTTATCAGTTTATTATTCAGTCAGTTTGCAATGAAAGACTTGGGGGACATTCATTTTTGAAAGAATGGAAAGAATATTAGTTAGGGAGTTTGCATAGACCAAAATATAGCAACTTTGCAATTGGACAAAAATCTGACCTTTTAAAATATTTCCCATCCCATCAGATCTCATCGATAGCTCTTCCCACCCGCACGCAGGCTCTTCTTCATCTCTTCGCACGCTTCCTTCTTCGACGGATGGGTTCATCCTCTCCGGCACTTCAATCCGTTGTTCCTCCTCCAATCCGGTGCTCCTCTTCACACAATCAGCGATGACTACCAAGCCACCACCTTTGATTCTCCTTTTTCTCCTTTATGTTGGGATTTCAAATCAAATTTGGGGATTTTCGTTCTTATTTTCAGATCTGAGTTTCAGATCAAGTTTGACTGGGGCGAGGCTGGAAGATGAGATGGAGTGCGCCATTGCTGGTCGGGTTGGGGGAGGGTGTTGTGGGGCTGGGGAGATGAGATGGGGGAGCCGGGGATCAGGATGGGGGCTTAGGGGATGGGGATCGGGGGTGGTTGGGGTTAGGGAGGTGACTGGAGGTTGGGGAGTCAAGCCGGCGGCCAGCGGTGGCGGCGGAGACCTACGATGATGGTCAACGACGGGGCTGGCGGTGGGGCAGGGGCGGTGGTGGACGAGATAGTGGTAGGCTGTGGGCGGTGGTGGACTGTGTTGAAGTTGGATGTGGAGTCAAATGAGAAGGGTGGCACTGCTTGCCTGCGCAGGTGGCGGGCAGCGACAACCTTCGTGGTGGTCTGCAGCGGCGGAGGTGGTTTTCTAAATTGGTAGATGTGGAGGTGTCACTGCGGAGGTGTCACTTTGAATGTGTCACTATGGCGGTGTCACTGTGGTTGGCAGCAGTAACCGGTGGTGGCAGAGGCAGCGACACGGGCGGTAGCCGCAGTGACACCGGCAGTGGTGGCAGTGACACCGGCGGTGGTGGCAGTGACACCGGCGGTGGCGGCAGTTACACCGGCGGTAGTGGCTGTGACACGGGCGGTGGCGGCAGTGACATTTGATAGTGACATTAAAACAGGATAGTGACATTAAAATCTGGGAATGACATTAAATATGACCTTCTTGATCACTTTTTTGCCCTGTTTTAATAGTGGTCACTTTTTTAGTAATTGTTCAAAACTAGTAATATTCAGGACATAATCCCTTCATTTTTTCCTTGGTATTCAAGCTCGTCCCACTCCGAAAGGTATGTTTCTTTCTCAGCATAAATATGTCACTGATCTGCTTCACCGCTTTCATCTTCATACTGTAAAACCTGTTCGGACTCCCCTCCCGTATCGCACCACATTGTCTCTCACAGATGGGGATCTTCTTAGCGATGGTCTGAGTATCACAGTATAGTAGGTGCATTTCAATACTTGACTATTACTAGAACTGATATTACTTATGTTCCCCGTACAACTCATCTTGCTGCTGTGAAAAGAATTTATAGGTACTTACAGGGCACCTCATCTCACGGACTTTGGCTTCGGGATGGACAGAGTATTTCACTGATTGTTTCTTATTCGGATGCTGACTGGGCCGGATGCACGGACTCCTGCAGATCCACCACGGGCTACAATATCTTCCTCGGCGGAAATCTTATTCCTTGGCACTCCAAAAAGCAACCTACAGTCTCCAAGTCTTCCACTGAGGCAGAATACAGAGCTGTAGCTTACAAAGTCCTGGACACGTTATTTATTCGTTCCTTGCTTCTCTACATGGGCATTCGGATATCCGCCCCAGTTCAGCTGTTTTGTGACAACGTCTCAACCTCAAATCTTGCTGTTAATCCCATCAGCACGATCGCAGCAAGCATATAAAGATTGACTATCATTTTGTTCGCGAAGGAGTAACACATGGAGATCTTGTTGTTAAGTACACTCCCACTCAGTATCAGTTAGCTGACATTTTTACTAAGAATTTATCTAGTCGGCGTTTTGAGTTTTTACGTTCCAATTTGCACGTGATTTCCCATGCGTAGATTGAGGGGGTGTAATAGTGTAATTATAAGAACTCTTATGTAATTACTCTTAATATTCATTATTATAAATACCATACTAGGACTACCTATTGGGTAAGCCATCACAATTATTATTTCACATTTTGATCATTTGAGGTACATTATTACATTGAGATGATTCTCACCATCCACTTTTAATCGTTTAGACATTACAATACACTATTGCACACATAAAATGCACTTATTCTCTATTGCACATATGATTTTACAAATAAAAATGATATGGAATATTTTTTAATGGCCACGAGTGGATTTTTGCCTTTTATAAGTATATGCCGGAAAGTTAATTTTCTGGCGTTCCAAGAGATGTTGGTTTCAATTTAGCGTCCAGGCAAGGGAGTTGCAGTCAAGGAAATTGGAGATAAAAGATATCTATTTACTTTTTATCATGTTTTGGATATGAATCGTGTGTTGGAATATGGACCTTGGCTGTTTGAAATAGACTTAATTCTGTTGAAAGCGGTTCAGCCAGGTGATATTCCTGAAAAGCTGAATCTATTTGAGGCAGAATTTTGGGTACAAGTTCATAATGCTCCTCATAAATTTAGAAATCTGAGTTCTACAAAGCGAATTGGGAATTTTATTGGCTCCTTTATCAAGTTCGATGATAACCAATATGGGGTCAAATGGAAATCATATCTGAGAATTACAGGGTACTACTCTGAAGAAGGATGGAAAGGGATATTGGGTAGATTTCAAATATGAAAAGCTACCCAATTTCTGTTTCGTGTTTGGGGTGATTGGGCACTCGGATAAGTTTTATCTTTTGCGATATGAGGAGGGGATTGTTCTTGAGAAATCTTTTGGGGTAGAGCTCAGGGCTGGTGGAGGGGTAAAGGCCAGCCCTACGGGATCTAATAAGTGGGTAGTCAATGGTTCTTCAAGCTCCGGGGGATCTGGGCAACGGCGGAACACTGATCTCGGGGATGAGCAGTCGGCAGAGACTGGTGCGAGCGTGTCAAAGCAGGGGGCAGACGATATGGAAGAGGTGTCAGACGAGACAAAGCGGGGGAGGATTTGGGAAGGAAAGCCAAAGGAAGTTACCGCTGGAGAGGACATGGCGCTTGATGGTCCAAAAAATGGGGAGACGGCGGGTTAGGCCTCCTAGACCCGCCGGTGGTTCTTTTGGTGATTCTGATTAGTATCACAAGCTGGTTTTTATGTTACTATCTGCTTTTGTTGTTTTTTCCACAGTTATACTTTCATATTCTGTTTTTATTTTTTCATCTGCTGTAAAACTCTTGCATTAGGTTTGGAGGTTGAAAGGTCTACGGTAATCGTCGGTAGCTTTAATTCGCCCAAGTTAGGTCTAACGAGTTATATTGTTTTCTCAAAGGTGATTAACTCAAAGTCTCGGTCAAGGAAGAATGATTACGTGTCGGCAGTCGGCAGAGACTGGTGCGAGCGTGTCAAAGCAGGGGGCAGACAATATGGAAGAGGTGTCAGACGAGACAAAGTGGGGGAGGATTTGGGAAGGAAAGCCAAAGGAAGTTACCGCTGGAGAGGACATGGCGCTTGATGGTCCAAAAAATGGGGAGACGGCGGGTTAGGCCTCCGAGACCCGCCGGTGGTTCTTTTGGTGATTCTGATCAGTATCACAAGCTGGTTTTTATGTTACTATCTGCTTTTGTTGTTTTTTCCACAGTTATACTTTCATATTCTGTTTTTATTTTTTCATCTGCTGTAAAACTCTTGCATTAGGTTTGGAGGTTGAAAGGTCTACGGTAATCGTCGGTAGCTTTAATTTGCCCAAGTTAGGTCTAACGAGTTATATTGTTTTCTCAAAGGTGATTAACTCAAAGTCTCGGTCAAGGAAGAATGATTACATGTGGTTCTTTTACATTCTTTTACCCCTGCTGGATGTTTTTTTTTAATGATATAAGCACCTTCTGATAAAAAAATATATATATGGGAAAATGGAGTATTATTTCATGACCACAAACATATATGTTCATTCCTCGGCCACACACTATATATATTCGTTCCTTGAACAGCTCGATCCGTCCCTGCCCAAATCCACATCTTCTTATTCCTTAATTCAAGCATAAAGCCAAATTAACTCACACCACTAAAAAATATTTAAGTGGTTTAGTGCTTTAGTGAGAGCAATTAAGTGCAATCTCTTCGAAACCAATTTAATGTTTCGACCGACCAAAATCTTTAATTTGTGTTTGGAAGAAGAGTCGATCAATTGGTGCAATGGTCGTTTCACTGACGTTACTTAAACCTAACTGTGGTATTTTCCAGTAACAACTTCAATTAGTGCAATGTAATGTAATAAGAATAATCATATGTCGTCAAATGCTAAAATGTTATTTTAACTAGATTAAGATTGTTGTCGGAGCCGATTCTATGGGCGTAACGACAAAATTGGTATACACCTGCACCATGACCGTCTAATATGCAATATATTGTTAATGCCATTCCAAAATGACATGATTAATTAGTGCCACCATGTACGGTAACTTTGTAAGTTCGTCGTCACTGTTATTGCTAATTACGTTTATACGAAGTATCTCTAAACTAATTCCATATCCATTTAATTTGATCTCATCCGGGTGGATCCAGAAAATTAGGATGCCTTGAGATCTTTATCTATATATACTAGACGATAAACCCGTGCGTTGCACGGGAAATCTAGGAACCCTTTGGTGATCCATATATGTTTACGGTTTATCAAACTTATCAACCATTTTAGTTTTTTCTCATATTTCGTATAATTTTTTCTGAGACAAAGGGATTATAAATTTTTGAGATAACAAAAATAACAAATGTTAGCAAAGTTTCATGAGACAGAGTAAGTGTAAGTTTTATGATTTTTAATTTATGAATGTGACTTTTCTAATTTGTAGTTACTAACTGTCACTGAGAAGTTGTTGTGTTCATCATATTTTTATGAGAAAAATAATCAAAATACCTAAACTCTGAAGAAGCGTGAGATAAACACTCCAAACTTTCATATGTAATTTAAATACCCCAAACCTTATGTAAAATTTATTTTAGCAATATGGTCCTATATTATTCCTTTCAAAAATGTTATTTATGGTGTTAATTGCATAATTTAAAATAAAAAATTAAAAATATTGCAATTGTTCACTCTAGTGGGGGCATAATTATTTATTTTGCAATGGAAGTTTAGAATTTTAATTGTATTTTTTAGAATGCTAAAATATTTTAAATTGTGAAACTTACACAAAAAATTAACAATTTTGAAAGAAATAATACATGACTGGTGCTAAAAGAACTTTTTACATAAAGGTTGGGGTATTTAAATTATATATGCAAGTTTGGGGGTGCTTAATTCACACTCCTTTTAAAGTTTGAGGTATTTTAATTACTTTACCTTATTCTTATTGCTTATTGTTTATTTTTATTTTATTCAGACCAGATCAAATAAGGGACAATTCAAGTTAGATCAAATCGGAAAAATTAAGTTCACATGAGAAAGGTTTAGATGTATATTTATAGTTCTAACTATAATTATAGTTAAAATTTAATCACAATAATAGTGATGATAATAACAAAAATAACCGCAACAATAATAAACATTTAATTACATTAACAATATTTAGATCTGAGTGAGATTGATTCAGATCAAATGAAAAAGATTCAAATCAGATAAAAAAAAAAGTTTCTGATCAGCTAAAAAAACTCAGATCATATGAAATATTAAAAATTCAAATAAAAACATTCCTATCCGGCTAATGGAATAACCCCTAAGAGAGTGTTTGCAAATACTTAAAAAAGCGATTCTCGACTTTTGGCTTAAAAGGCTAAAATTAGTGTTTCCAAATGACTTCTACTTAAATAAACGTTTATCGACTTTTGGCTGAAAACTGATCTTTACTTTTACTACTACACAAAAAACGCATATTTTACCAAACACGGTCAACTTTTACTTTTCAAAAACATTTTTTCTCTCAAGTGATACTAACTTTTACTACTAATCACTTTTTCCAAAATAATTTCAAAAAGTGTTTTTTTAAGCAAAAACATTTGAAAACATTTTTAAAATCTTCAAAAAAGGTATTCCACTAATTATTATTATACGGAGTACTAATTATTATTATACGGAGTACTCAATTAGTTTTAGTACTCCGTATTACCCAACTACTACTTTAGCAAATACTAATTAAAATACTAATTAGCTAGTATTATGCATGTTTTCGTAACTGAAAGTGCATTGATGAAGTATTAAGATAGATATTTAATTGAGACAACAATTTTTCACATGTTTTGACTCCAAATAGATCTCACCTGAAATCCCACCATAGGATCTTTATATATATAAAGATATAAATAGAACATGGTGGAGATCCAAACTATTTGGAGCCAAAAGAAGTGAAAAATTGTTGTCACTATTAATGAAACATTACTTAATGAAGTCATATTTAGTGCCAACCTAATTAATTGTTGTAAGTTATAAATAAAACTTTAGAAAATTATTGCCACTATTAATGAAACATTACTTATTGAAGCCATATTACGTGGCAACCTAATTAATTGTTGTAAGTTATAAATAAAACTTTAGAAAATTATATTGAACATAAAAACATTAAATATTAAAAAAATATTAGAAAAATATTAAAAGATACATATACATAATTAATTAAGAGACATAATATAATACAGTTAAAAATGAAATGTTCTAATTTCAGAATATAAAATAGAGTATTACAATATATTTGGATACAAATATTATGTAAAGGATAATGATAATACTCAGTACCCCATTAAATGTGTCCAGAATTGACTTGCACGTGGAATATAAATAAAGTAAAAATTACTTTGTATGTGATTGAGATTTTAACAAATCAGTTGAGAAAAATAATTTACCTACACATTGATTAGTTTAAATAGAAATGACCATTTTGGTTGAGGCAGTTGCAAAAATAAAGTTAGCGCAATTTAATGAGATAAGGGAATCATTGTTTTTTATAATTAGCTGCAACATAAAATACAAAAATTCATTCATTTAATTCTACTATAACTATTCATTAGTAAATAAGTAACTATTTTAAAAATCCGTTGAAATCATAATTTTAAATAATGTTTCCCAATTTTGAAAA